GTAGTTGTGGCACACAGGCTCAGTAGTTGTGGCTCGTGGGCTCTAGAGTGCAGGCTCAGTAGTTGTGGCACACGGGCTTTGTTGCTCCACAACATGTGGGATCTTCCCAGACCAGGGTTCGAACCAGTGTCCCCTGCATTGCTAGACGGATTCTTCACCACTGCACCACCAGGGAAGCCCCCCTTTTTCTTTTAATGTTAGTGTAATTCAGAGTCTGGATCCAAAAAATAGTATGGTCCATTTTCTTTATTTTAATATATTCTTATAAGGATTGGGAAAGAAAATGGGATAACTGTATTTTTTTTATGTTTACTTTTAGCCAAGTTTCAGTCCTTGCTCTAAATGTTTTAATGCCTCAGAGCCAAGAAGGCACCTATTAACTTTTTTTAAATCTATACATTTGGTTCATCTTTGATTTTGTTTGTTTTTTTCTTTATAGAAATTAAAAATTAAAAAACGAAGATGAGGGCTTCCCTGGTGGCGCAGTGCTTGAGAGTCCGCCTGCCGATGCAGGAGACGCGGGTTCGTGCCCCGTTTCGGGAAGATCCCACATGCCGCGGAGCGGCTGGGCCCGTGAGCCATGGCCACTGAGCCTGCGCGTCCGGAGCCTGTGCTCCGCAAATGGGAGAGGCCACAACAGTGAGAGGTCCGCATAACGCAAGAAAAAAAAAAAAAAAAGTCTAATATTACATTTTACTTTTTTTCCCTTAAAATTGTATGTTTTAATATACTTTCTCCACAGAAAGTGGAGTATATTGACACAACTTCTGACCAGTATAATGTGGCAATGTCTTTCAAAATTATAAAAGCACTCTTTAAATCAGTAATTCCACTTCTAGGACTTTAAATTTAACCTTCAGATATATTCTCACCAAATGTGAAATAACATATGTAAGAGGTTACTAATTATAGCATTATTTGTAATAACAAAAATTAGAAATAATTAATTGCTTTGGAGCCCTAAAAAGAAAAAAAAAAAGAGAGAGAGAGAGAGAGAGAGACACTAAATGCCTGGATACGATATCCAAAAATAAGGGAAACAGGCAGGTTGTACAACAAAGTGTCATGTGTGCTGCTGTTGCTATTTGTCTAATGTACAAAAAAAAAAAAAAAAAAAAAAAAAAAAAAAAAAAAAAACGAAGATGAGAAACTCAGTTCAAATAATGACTTCTTTTTAATCCAAATTACAATTCTGCCACCTAGTGTTTGCATACGGATTTTTTAACAGTATTCTTTTTTCTTTTAAAAAACTGAGAATAATTTTTTCCTTCATCCTTAGCTTACTAATTTAATATTCAGCTTAGTAAAAACTTTAAAAGGGGTATCCAACGTTTTACAGAATTAGATTGTTAATATCTCAAATTTTAAAGCTCATAAATTGTTGAAAAATTCATTGTGTAGTTAACCCTTGAACAACATGGGTTTGAACTGTGCAGATCCACTTACAAGTGGATTTTTTTCAATAAACACGTATTGCAGTACTACGTGAACCGTGGTTGGTTGAATCTGAATTTAGGGATTTTCTACTGCTTGGGGGTTGGTGCCTCTAACCCCTGTGTTCAAGGTTTGCCCGTGATGTTTACACAGTTCTGTTCTGTAATGAGTAATTTTACTTTCTTAGAGTCGAGGTGGAAAGAAATTTCTTGCTGTACTGAAAGAAATCTTGGACAGGGATCCGTTGTCTCAACTGTGTGAGAATGAAATGGATCTTATTTGGACTTTGCGACAAGACTGCAGAGAGAATTTCCCACAGTCATTGCCAAAATTACTGCTGTCAATCAAGTGGAATAAACTTGAGGATGTTGCTCAGGTAACAAAAGATCATTTCTGTAACTCCATTCAGCAGTATATGTTACTTTGTTGATTTCATGTAAATTGTCCTTTCCTACATAGGTGTGTTTCCAAAGGTTGGGTAATTTTCTGCAGGAGAAATTTTGAGGTTTTAAACTCTTACATATTCTGGTCTAAATGGTAAATCAGAAAGTTTTAAGGTTTCAAAATCCCAGATTCCGGGTAGGTTTTCTATATCTTTTACTAAAGATAATTAAGACTTAGGTCTTGGTGTAATCATCTGTAATTACTACCAGCATGTGGTAGGTTCTGGGCTACTTGTAACAGTTTCATCAATGAACTCCAAGGTTTTAATCTTAAGACCCTTTGCAGTGAGTGTCCTAAAATGAATATGTATTGTTTGAAAATTACCTCTATTTGTAAAAGTTAACATTTTAGATCATAAGCCATTCAGATCAATTTTACTGTTTATTTAAAGTTGGTCAGTGTTGATGAATATTTGTCTTTAAGCAGAAAAGCAAAAGGGGAAAAAATGTTTGATCCAAAAAAGCTACCAAATTTTAGCTACTTGATTTAATTTTCAAGACTATGTGAAAAAGCACTGGCATTATGAAATTCACTTGGTTATCAGTGCTCTACAGAAAGATTCTTGAAATTATTTCTTAATCAGAATGAATACATTTGGCATATTAAAATAATGATATTCACCTTACTTGAATTCAACTGATATTTAAAAATTTTTTCTTGTCTTATTAAATCTATAATGACTTTAAAAATTTAGTCAAGAAATGTATAGTTCTTTTAATCAGATTTTTTTAAATCTTTGATTTTATTGTTTTACTTCTTAAATTAAGTTTAGAAAGTATTTCTTTTGAGTTTATTCCTAGGGTCTAAAAATTTTTTTGGAATCATGTTACAAAATTATATGATGTGCCTTATTTAAACTGGTTACACAGACCACATGAAAATTACTCTGAAAAGGAACTATTTTTGTCATCTAGATAGATTTTAATTGTTCTGACACAGTTGTCTTCTCACCATTTATTTATTTAAATTCAAGGTTAGTTTTCTATGAACTCCCCTAATGGTTGAATATAAGCATTTTTTAACTGGCATATTTGCCTACTTCTCAATGAATGGCATTCATTTCTAACTGCCTATCCAAGAAATGCATCATATTATTATTTTGCATATAATTAGAATAGAAAAAAATTTCTTGCTGTACTCTTAAGATATCTGAGAGGGAGGTTTTGTATGTCAACTGTCAGAAAATGGAATGAAACAATTCAGGCTTAATATTTCTTTATTTGAACCCCAGGGGCAGAAATTTTTACACTTAGGAGTTTAGTTTAGTATACTTGTCTCATTTCCATGAGTAAATCTAAAGCATTGTTTTCAGATATAACTTAACTTCCTCCGTTGTGGTAGAAGAAAGTCTGTAGTGTAACTTAATATTCTTATGGAAAAACCTAAATGTGTGTAAGGAAGTATAGGAAGGCATGAATTTCACGATCCTAATCCCCCCTTTTAGTAGTCTAGAAAAGAAAATCAACGGAATAAAAAGTGTGTTTTGGCTTCTCCCCCAGCCCTGTCCCATTGCCAGTTACACTGAACTGGTACAAGAGAATATAAACTGTATTTTCAATGAATTGACTACCTAAGAGAAGTGGAGAGTCAGAGCCTGGTGCACATATTCTGCAGGCATATGCCACAGGTGAAAATTTTATAGAAGGGTAGCCTCCCATTAATCCACAGGAAAACATTCTGTTGGCATACTGCAGAAGGGGTTTCAATAGTCTCTGCAGCAGACAGGTAATTAATTAGTCAGCACTGCTTTCACTATTTATATGGCTGAGTCAGATTTCCCTTCCCTGTTTGCTTCCATAGCTTTCTCCAAACTGAAGCGATGAGTTTTGGTAATTTATTTAATTTTATGTTTATATTATTGATTTAATAATTTAATAATTTAATAATCTTAGCAAAAGTTAATAACTTTTCAATAGTAGGGCTGTTTTTAACCTATACCATAGTTGAACCTCTGGTATTACATAACATTATCTATCCTTTACAGTATTGTTTTTGTGGAGCAGTGTATATTCTACGTGTTAACTGGGGATGCTAGGAGGTTTTTTTTTAGCTATCATTTCAGACCCTCAAGAAACAGTCCCCTTTATCCATAAGGAGGACTACTAGTCCATTATGGCCTTGGGGAAAGTCGGCAGGGAGCCCCATCAGTGATGAAACGTGGGGTGACGTAGGTGTTTCATATCTTTAAAGCAGTATTGCTCAAACTTTTGTTCAATTATTATACTCCTTAGGACCCTTTTTACATATTTTCCCCTAATAGCCCCATCCCCATGGGATTTTGATACCACAGATAAGTGTATGTCTGCCTATGTAGTGTATGCATATATGTACTTTGTATATTAAAAGAGCAAGTATAAGACAATCTTTTTATTCAGTACAAGTTTAAGAATAATTGAACCAAAATTTAAGGTAAAAGTTAAAATGTAAAAACTAACATTTTGTTGTATTTGTTGAATAACTGATGTAATTCATTATGTAAATTGTAATGTATCACATTTCATATCCATGTTAGTAATTTATGTAAATATATATTAAAAAGGCAGTGGAGTCAACTTTTAAAAATTACTCAAAAGGGTTATTTTTTCTGCTAATGTAAAATAATTGAAAATTAATTTTTAAAAAATTGTATCATTAGAGAACTTTTAAATTTGCTTCATATGAGAAGATACCTTTTAACTTAGCTGCTAGATACTCATTTAGATATTGACCTTTCTGAGCACTTGACAAGTTAATGAGAGGTTGAATAATTTGGAGAATTAAAATAATAAAATGTAAATTATTTTAATGTAATTTTCAAAGCCCAAGTCTCTCACAGATGCTCAAGTGACAAACGACAAGGCAGGCAGTAGGTATTGCAAGCCATCTCTTGCAACATGACTTGCAACTGAGAGAAAAGCCTCTAACCATTGCCATCTATTTGCCATATTCTTGTAGCTCTCATCTTGTATACATTTTGTGTTTCTTCCTTGGACTTGATGTCAGTGCTACATAAGTGATACCCAAGAAAACCCAACGATATAAATCAGATATTAAGGAATAAGATTTTGTCTGATAAGGTTGAGCTTTGGAGGGCCACAAATCATAATTATCAAAAAATGTTTCGCTTTCCTCCATAACCACTTTTCTTCCCACTTACCATCCCTGATAAGAATGTAAGCTATAAACATATCAAGACCATGAGGAGGAAGGGACTCTTTCCAAAATTGACCCTTAAAAAAAAATCAACCCTGATGAGTCTCACTGTGTTCTGATGGGAGGCAGGTAAGAATCCATTCTAGAGATTTGGGTTTTTTGGAACTAGGGTTTCCAAAGATGTGGCCATGTCCACCTGAACCCACCCTTCACCAGTACTCCCAGCTCATTCCCCCATGGGATTCTTTTTTATCCTATATCTAGGTCATTTCTAAGCGGCATCTGTAAATGGGAAACTGGCTGTATTTATCTTGTGTATATAAAATAACTAGGTACTGTGATTTAATGGATTTAAACATGTTATAGTCAATAAAGTTTTGTAAAGTGATACTCTTAAAAATATTAAGAACTAAAAGTAAACTTCCTCAAGATAATTTTATGTTGTTATAATGCACTTTTTATATGTAAATTGCCTTTCATTAGTTTGAGCCTTGCAGCTTATATTTGTACTTTGAATTTGACCTTTAAGTATTTCTTGATTATTTCCCTCTGCTGTTTCCCCTCTCCCCTTCCTCTCACCTTCCCCCCTGCCTTCTGCCCCCATCTTTTTTTCCTTTAAAAAATTATTTGATGATTGTAAAATTCATATATTCAGTGTATCATTCTACCTCCAGGTAAGTACATAATAGCTTTTTCACTTGCTTACCGATAGAATCTTTCAGCAGAGACAATCTTTATTAATCTGTATTAACAACAGTGGATTTTTGAGGCCTTAGTAACTGCAAGTATGCTTCTCCTTTCCTTTGACCCATCTCTGCTCCTGTGTACCAAGGAAAAATAGATTACTTTTCTCTCCTATAATTTCTGAACCAGTTTCAATTTTTAAACAGCTTCAGGCACTACTTCAGATTTGGCCTAAACTGCCCCCCCGGGAGGCCCTGGAACTTCTAGATTTCAACTATCCAGATCAGTACGTGCGAGAATATGCTGTGGGCTGTCTGCAACAGATGAGGTATCTCCTGCAGGAGGCTTTTTTGGGTCAAGGAATAACTTGTGGGTGGGAAGAGAAGTTGATGTCTGCTTGAATGTCTTGTAAGAAAGGAAAAGGATAGGAATGACCGAGTTCAAAGCATCTGTTCCCTCCTTCCTCCCACTCTCTCCCACAGTCTCTCCTGTTTTCTCCCCCCACCCCACCCCATCTCCTCCGATCCTCCCCGACTCTCGCTCTCTCTCTCTCTCTGTTTTTTTTTTTTTTTTTTTCCCCCAGAGGAAATTATTATTTCTCCTGTCCCCTCTTCCCCCCCCTCCTTTTTTTTTTTTTTTTTTTTTTTTTTGGCGTGGCTGCCTTGCATGCAGGATCTTAGTTCCTGACCAGGGATCGAACCTGCACCCTCTGCAGTGGAAGCATGGAGTCTTAACCACTGGGCCACCAGGGAAGTCCCCACTCTATATGATAAAACAAAAAAGCAAGCAAAAACTGCATCGGGTGGTCCCCAAGAACACCCTCAGGTTCCATGACTTACTAGGAGGACTCATAGGACTCAGCATATAGTCACTCTTGGCTAAGATTTATTACAGAAAAAGTATACAGAGCAGAACTGGCAAAGGAAAAAAATTCATGGGGCAAAGTCTGAAGGAAACCAGGGAGATGCTTCTAAGAGTTCTTTCCCAGTGGAATCACACTGAATACACTTAATTCCCCCAGCAACAAGTTGTGACAGCACATCTGAATACTGTCTACCAGGGAAGCTTGTTAGAGACTTGGTGGCCAGGATTTTTTTTGCAGGGAGGGCAGTGCTAGTCACATGAGCACCCTCTGCCTAGCATATTCCCAAATTCTAGACTCCCGGAACAAAAATGCGTGTTGAGCATAAAACATATTGTTTGCAAAAACAGTTTAGGCACAGTGAGCCACTCTTATCTGTTAGGGTGGTGGGAAGCCTTCCGAAATCTACATTCCCAGATGCCAGTCAAGGGCTAACCTTGTAAGCATGCTTTATCAAAGGATAGCCGTCAGGCTTGCTCCTCTGTTAACTCTTTTCTGTCCACTACCCACAATTAAGAAATGTTAATATTTTTTCCTTTTTTAAATGTTAATATTTTTGACTTTTTTAAAGTTTGTATTTTATTTATTTTTTTAAACTTAAAATTTTTTTTTTTTATTCTTTGGCTGCGTTGGGTCTTCGTTGCTGCGTGCAGGCTTTCTCTAGTTGCAGCAAGCGGGGACTACTCTTCACTGCAGTGCGTGGGCTTCTCATTACGGTGGCTTCTCTTTTTGCAGAGGATGGGCTCTAGGCACGCAGGCTTCAATAGTTGTGGCATGCAGGCTCAGTAGCTGTGGCTCGCGGGCTCTAGAGCACAGGCTCAGTAGTTATTGCCCACGGGCTTAGTTGCTCCGCGGCACGTGCAATCTTCCCGGACCAGGGCTCAATCAAACCTGTGTCCCCCACATTGGCAGATGGATTCTTAACCACTGTGCCACCAGGGAAGCCCTAAGTTTGTATTTTAAAGCGATTAACGTTACAGCTAAAGTCCTCATAGTTTCCTTACTCAATCCTGATTATTTTCACTTCCCAGAGGCAACTGTTATCACGAATTTGGTGTATATCCTTCTATACCATAATTTTCTGTTTTTACCACATTTATATATCTATAAAATACAGATATGGGATAATATTGTACATTTAAAAATCACACAACTGTGTCTTGCCATATATATTGTTTTACATAGTTTTTTTTCCTTTATTCAACATTAGGTTTTTGAGATCAGTCTCTCCTGTTACATATAAATGTAGTTTATTCCTTTCACTACTGTGTAATATTCTTTCATAGAGATGTATCGTATTTACTCCATTTCTCTATTGAGGAACATTTTAAATTTTCTCAAAATTTCCCTCTAAATAAACAGTGCTACAGTGAACATGCTTGTACAATCTCTTTAGGGTAGTACATGTATGAGAATCTATGGGATTTCTTGGATGAAATGTCATTATTGAGACAGTCTTAGACAATGGGCATTTTCAGGTTTATCCATTTTCTTACTAGCCTCAAAATGAGGGGTTATACCATATGGTCATTTGAAAAACAAAAGTTCTCAGAAAATTATGGATACTGTGATACATTTTTTTTCCTTTTCTTCTTTTTAAAATAAATCATTTATGTTTTAAATTGTGTGCTCTCCAAAACAAATTATACAAACTCTTCAACAGTGGTTATTTTGGGGGAGTGAAATAAGAAGTGTAAGGAAAGAGGAAGCCTCTTCCTTTCTATACTTCTATCTTTTACACTATTTATAGATTTTATAGTGGGCATGGATTTTACAATAAACTTAAGATTGTTTTATAGATAGTTTTAAAAAATGAGGCTCCCAGTTGTTCCTCAGTCTCTCTGTTTGCATTGGAGATCTGAAGGGGAGGGGCTACCTGGCCCCCCTTGGACTGAGCTAAGTGTTTTTCTTAAATATCTTGATCCCTAGGAGGAGATTGCTGTGATCCCCATGTTCCATATAGGTAATTCTAATGTGTCTTCCTATGTTAAATTTTCTGGTATGAGGTTTTTTTCTGGTGTATAGTATCCTAGGTTTCAGTCCCAGGTCAGTATCCTAGGTTTCATTCCCAGGTCTGCTTTAGACTACTGCTTAACCATTTATTGTCCAAGACTATAGTCACCAAGTAGAGGACTTGGGATACATATCTTACCTGACTACTGGAATTGCCTTTGATGGGAGTGTGTTTACATGTGAATGGTTTGGAGATGGATACAAAACAGAGAGCCCGAACATTAATTAATTCAGCTCATTTAATTACAATATTATGTCAATTCAATGAATCCATTCCCACTTACAAATACACTCTTTATCCTTCAAACTATTTGAAGATTTTAATTGTTCATTCATTTTCTGGGAGCAAAAATTACTTAATCCCAATGATATGAAAGGAAAATAAGTTGAAGTACTGATAGAATTTGTATTTTAAAAAGCTGGTTGGTTGACTGAGTACGTAACTTTTTCAGCATGATCAGAAAACTATTACCTAATTTTATTATAACTCTCGGCTGATTGTAAATACAATCATCAGTTGTATAAACCTAGTTAACTTAATAAAAATGCCCCATATATCTGTTCTTTGCTCCTTTTCACTCTTCTGCCCTTCAGAAATTCTCAGCTTTTCTTGTGTTATTGTAACAGTGTAACAGTGAATGTAAGTGTGCCCCAAGCTTGACCCAAAAGAACCATTGTGTTTCAGTAAGTTAGTATTTGATAAGTTTGATAGGAATGGGTCTTTTTCCAGCACTGATTGTTGAGTGACTTACTGTGTCTTTTGTTTTTTTCAGTGATGAAGAACTCTCTCAGTATCTTTTACAGTTGGTGCAAGTTTTAAAATATGAGCCTTTTCTTGATTGTGCCCTCTCTAGATTCCTACTAGAAAGAGCACTTGCTAATCGGAGGATAGGGCAGTTTTTATTTTGGCACCTTAGGTAAGTCTTTTATATTTCAAATCAAATCTACCACGCGCTTTTGTAAATATTAACCAGCATAATACAGGGCATGTAGTAAAACAGTCTAGCTGCTTTAGTTGTTTCTGAGCCATCCATAACATTTATGCTTTCTTGGTATCTACTCCTATTTCTTGATACCCAGACTCTCAATTTTCATGATTTGGCAAAGTAACAGATAAGTGTCCCTTTATGCCTCCTTGATTTATAACTGAAATTAATAATTTTTATTATGATAATTATTGTAATTAATTATTATTATTATTATAATGTATTGCTATTTTCCAGTAAAGTTTACTTATTGTGTTAATATTTTTGGACTAAAAACGTACTTATTGGGTAGTGGTATCATCATTGCTACTATTGCATAAATAAAGATTTTAAAGTTTTCCTATAACAACAGCAACTTTATTTTTAGCTTCTTTATTAACTAGGTCATTTTCAGAAATACATGAATCTTATTAAACCAAGTTTATATAGGAGT